AATAGCAGCAGAAGTTGGGATAGAGAACTTTCGTTGAGCTTTTGCCAAAAGATAGGCCAATTCTACGACCCATACAATGGCACATACAAACTGTAACTGGGAAGCCCACGATAATTGGATCATCAAACCTCCGTTCTTTCTCTGTTCTATCTTAGTATAGGACTGTAATGGCCCAATTTCTACCAAAATAAAATTACAGGTTGATTATAAAAAAAAAGATTGATTTACGTAGGAGGTTTATGGAACTTCATCACTCTATAGAAGTGGATCCCGCGTTCAAATTTTCTCTTTTACGGATTAATTTTCTACATAAATACAATGAATCAAACAATATTATTATAAATATACCTCACATATCAGATGTATACAAAACAATGTTAAAAATATCGAATCGGATCAATGATAGGGCCAGTAGAATCGCAAAGCAGTTATAATAGTAGTTCGGCATGATTGCTTAGACGGTTAGTGATGGACCAAACGATTTTTACGGTTCAACATGAAACCAGATGAATCAACCTAGTTTGACTAGTCCTCTAATTTACTATTTCAACCAGTGTTAATAAAGTCGGACCAAACCGTTGGTTTGACCGATAGAATCGTCAACTGAATCCAATTTCGATCCTAATGCTCCTTTTGGCCACTTATTGAGTCGCCTGGCAGGCAACCAGTCCAAATGGTTAACCAAACAACCGCCCAACCGGTTTTGACTGGTTCGTCCTCTTTTTTGCTTGTTATGTAAAAATGTTGGAGTTGGGACTTGACACACAACCTCAATATGAGTTATTTACCAACTATGCCACCTACTTGTTTTTTAACAATTTGAATTGTTTAAAAATAATTATTTAATTATATACTAATTATTTAAAATTTAATCTAACTTTTAAAATATTTATAAATAATTGTGAATTAAAAACTTATTTCCAGCGTCCATGTATAGTAAAATGAGCCATTATTTCAAATGGGTTACTATATGTGTCTATATATAATATTCTGCTTTATTATGCATGGTTTATTAATGTGTTTTTAACGGTTTAACACCATTTAGACCAATAAATTATGAATCATTTACTATACCGGTTCATACTTTGATTCGAATATGAGAATATTGATTTTAACCACAAAAATTTTAAGAAAATACATTAATCATGAACTAATATTTTCCAACATGAGTAATGTCATTTATACTTCCACTTCTTCATTTCACAGCCTCCTTGTTGGTTTTACGTGATCTATTACCGACTACCACCTTAACTTCTTCCTTCAACTAAAAAATAATTATTTCTTTTGTGAGAAGGTTTAAATGATTTGTTTAATACTTTTGTAATAGATTATATGAATTTGAAATTGTTTATGGTCAATAATAAATTCATTTTAAATTAGTGTGTTATACATTTTTTCTACGTTATAGATCATGAACGGTTAACTAACAGTTTATAATAGTTATCCACTAAACGGTAAACCACTAACTTTTTCGGTTCATCGTTTGATTCGGTTCTAAAAATATCAATAAAAATTGAAAGAAATTTACAATTACGCCAAACTAAACATGCTCTAAATTGTTTAGTACATAGATAATTAGCTAATATCATATAATCAACATTTTCCACTAAAAAACTTTCAAATGTACTTCAAGTATTTGAGGGTAGTTCACCATGGAAAACAGGTGCATTAGTTTTTGAAGTTATATGGATTTTGAATTAGAAATAGTTGGAGTAATTGTGCAGGAGGTTTATCTTTGTAGATAATTCTCAATCGAGTACAAAGTTAGAATTTATAGGTGGGCGTGGTTATGCCTTTTTTTTATAATTAGATTTGTACCCTTAGATTTGAGTGAGCCTGTAGTCCTGTACCACCCGGTACCATCTTTGTTTTTAACTCAAGTTTTAAAAAAATTTCCACAGATGACACATGTTTGGCGTGATTTATTCGATCTACAAATTTCTGAAAAAAATACAGATCTAAACGTACCACTTCATACCACCCTTGTATAGACGTGGTAAACTAGTGGTACACAATGATGAATGTGGCAGATAACAGTATGTATATTCCTACTATCATGTATTCGAGTTCAACCATTATACACTCAGATATATTCATACCACCATGGTACACTCAATAATCAATATCACGTGGTATGATTTTATGTAGTACCAAGCATTACCATAATGATATAGACTGAACATGTCCCTTTAACGTTATGATACAAGTTCAATTTATATTATGTCTCGAAATTTGTTATCTTTCCAAAAAAAATTGAATTTCAATGATTTCCAGCATTTACATCAATACCAATGCCACAATCCACCGTGTTAGAACAAAAATTGGGGCACAATGATCCATCAGTCATGGATGTAAAGAAGTTTAAAACCACTAACAAACCAAGCCTATCTTATTTTAGTCGAAATCCGTTGCTAGCTAGATTCAGTGGATTATTCGTTTTCACAGTCCCATTGATATGCAACTACGTGATGTTGCGCTGTCTAGCTGGTTGTAATTTGATTGAGGTGATACTGGTGTCTTTGTAGGCTTATTTGGGCTAGTGGATTGTGACTAACAAAATTCTATGTAGTGTAAGGATTAAGACAGCAGCCACCTTTGCGGATTTACCCCGTAGGCCAAGGCGCCAAGCTGTGTGTAAATTACCAAAAGGATCACCTCACTTTGGGTTGATAACAAAATGGCCACTTGATCGATACAAGCCGGCGCGAACTGCATACATTATTAATCGCTATGTCTAAAATGAGCCACGCCAAACTCTACTCTTTTGGAAAACTTCTGTACGAGTATGGTATTATGAAAACTTTTTTAATAGCTATACCATTTTGGAAAAATTGCTCAGGTGGGAGTAAGTATGTGATTAAAAAAGCATGGCAATAACAAGGTACAAAGTAGTGAACAATTTGCACTCTTCCACCTTACATACAATTTGTTTAAAAAAAAAAACCTTACATGCAAAAGAAACGGTGGCAAACTCGAACTGAACCTCGAAATAAATCTCAGCCACGTAATTTTTCTTGCGGAGTTTAAATGCGCTCAGTAATAGCATGTGGTTATAGTTTATGTTTTAGGTGGCCCATGAATTTCAGGTAGGAGACATGTGGTTGTGATTTGTGCATACCTAAAATTTCCAATATACAGAGTCAAATGCATGATTCTATATAGGGAAATTGATGCAAAAAAAAAAACTATAAGTGAAATTAATAATTTTATGTCACAAAAAAAAAAACCATAAGTGAAATTGCATAAACCATAAATGTATAAGTTTTTATGCATCATATAATTTGAATAATCATCTAGACGTTATACACCAAACCATCGATCATATTCATATGTAATGTTTATATTTTCATAATAAAACAACAACTACCAAATTTAACGGCAATACGAGTAAATAAATTTTAACCCTGGAAAAGCAGCCCTTTCCTAAACAACTAACGGCGTGCTCACCGTATCCGTCTAATGTTAGGATTTGTTTAGTCGTAACTGGGAAGGAAGCAAAAAGGAGAATGACTACTAAAGACCTTGAGTTCTTTATTTTATTACTATTGTGGATTAAGGAATCCTGTGGATTATTATATTGTTTTATAAGTACCAGTGGGCTTATCAATTATCATCGGTTTGATTATACAAATTTGAAGTTTTTTTTTAATTCCCAACTACCACTCTCCAGGTGGGGGGAAAATAATATTCCCAACTGCCAATCCATAGTCCACTGTGCAACCCTTGATCCATAATACATGGTTTGTTCAATTTGAGTAGCATTTTGTAGTCTCATCAATGGTACAACTATTATTAGTATATTCAGTTGTAGGTCGTTTTAGTGCCATAACGTAATAAGAAAACACACGGCAAATATATGATATCGTATGGTCAAAGATGAAATGTGAAAAAGAGTTTAGATGTGACTGGAATACCATATTGATGGAAATGCAAGGAATGAAACGACTTGAGTGACAAAATACATGTAATTTGTGTTGTACTACCTATTAATTAGAAATATCTGACTATAAAATAAATTGAATTAAACTAAAACAACCATAGTTTTTTAGTTGATCACACAAACATACTTTCAAACTGACTTACGGCGGGAAATAAAGAAACGGTTTTTTTAACCACCAAATGTGTCATTGATTCTTTACCTTCCTAACAAAATGAAAAACCACATTCAAGGAACTCTTGTTGCATCTGCCTCAACTACACGAAGATGGCACCGGTACAAGCATCCCTACCAGACTTCTCAAGCGCGTTGTAAATCACAACCTTAGTGAATCAACACATTTTGTTGGACAAACACCAGTGAAAAGCATCTCTTAACGCAATTAATTAACTCCACAAGGAAAGAGTCCTACAACTTCAACTAATTGATCGCCACGAGCTAGCAACACAGTCTTCTCCCCATCTTGGACCACCATTACACTCATGGCATGATACCCTATGCTTATCGCCCCATCAGACGAGCAAAACAAGGGGCATTGCAGACTATCCGTCGAGCCCCCCAGCCAACCCAAAAATCCTCACAACGATTTGCAACCCCTAACAAACGAGGCGACTTAGCCTTTCCACTCCTCAACCTATGTAAAAAAAAAAGTCATACCGAATACGGTATCATGTACTATGTAACCACACACATCACTCGTTCGGGGCGACACATCATGCTCAATAAAATCGTTGAAAAAAGGAGCTTAAATTAACTACATTCCAAACCATCCCTCACTTGATTCATTCCACATTACATTTCAATAATTTTGTCAGACTGGAAAAAAAAGATGGATAACTAGTTTACCTTCATTTGTTTCCTTTTTACAAAATGAGTAACTAATTTACTACTTTACCATTCCAACAGTCCACGGCAAAATCAGAACAGCAAGGCGGCCCAGGCCTACTACCCGAACGAAACGTGGTGATTTTCATCTGGCTTCCGCTTCTGCCCTTCATTTTCAGAAAAGAAAAAGGAAACCCGAAAAAACAAAGGAATATTCCCCCAGCTATTCCGCCTCTCCCTCTCTTTATAAAACAAACAGCGAAGCCTAACTGATACACCCAAAAGGCTCCCCCAATAAATCCTCCCCCAAATTCCGCCATTGACGACAAGAACCCAATCGACAAGAAGCAAGAAGAAGAGAAAAAAAGATGAAGACTCTAGCGATGTGCGAGACGCTAAAGAACAAGTACCAGGTGTGCGAAGAGATCGGCCGGGGCCGATTCGGCGTGATCTCCCGGTGCTTCTCTCCGACGAAGAACTCCTTCTTCGCCTGCAAGACCATCGACAAATCCCTCCTTGCCGACCAAGCCGACCGCGACTGCCTCGAGAAGGAGCCCAAAATCATGCTCTTCCTTCCGCCGCACCCAAACATCCTCCAGATCCACGACGCCTTCGACTCCGACGACTCCCTCACCTTGATTCTCGACCTCTGCGAGCCCTACACCCTCTACGACAAGGTAATCAAGAGCAATGGCGGCCTCCCGGAGCCCAAATCGGCCGGAATCATGCGCCAGCTGCTCGAGGCCGTCGCCCACTGCCACCGATTCGGCGTCGTCCACCGGGACATCAAGCCCGACAACGTCCTCTTCGATTCCAGGAACCGGGTCAAGTTGGGCGACTTCGGGTCGGCCGACTGGGTCGTGGACAGCGGGTCGCTGAGCGGGGTTTTCGGGACGCCCTACTACGTGGCGCCCGAGGTCCTGATGGGGAGGGACTACGGCGACAAGGTCGATGTGTGGAGCGCCGGCGTCGTTTTGTACGTGATGCTCTCCGGGATCCCGCCGTTTTACGGGGAGACGGTGGAGGAGATCTTCGAGGCGGTGATCCGGGGGAACCTCAGGTTCCCGCCCAAGGTGTTTCGAAACGTTTCGTCGCAGGCCAAGGACTTCCTCCGCAAGTTGATCTCTCGAGACCCTTCCCGAAGATTCTCCGCCGAACAAGCCCTCCGTAAGTTTCTTGGTTTTTTCCGTTTTTTTTTTTTTTAATTTTCCGATTAACATAAATCTCCGATCATTGTTGGTAACTGAAAACGAATTTGTCTTTCTTCTGTTCAGGGCATCCATGGATTGTGAACGGCGGGGAAGCCATATGAGGAGGAAGCGAAATGACTACTGAGGAGTTGTGGAAGAAAGGAGAACAGAGTGCTCTGCTGTCCCTCTGGATAGCTTATCGCACATTTGTGAATATAAGCAGCCGAAAAGCTTTCAACCTGGTTATCGGAGAACCCACCAAACCCGAAAAGAAAAAAAGATCCCAACTTTTTTTTTTTTTTTTGCCCTTTTCCGTGCACAGAGACCGAGAGCAGGATTTCATGAAGATGGAAGACGGAGGGAGCAGGTGGACAACAAAAATGGGGGAAACAGAGTCACATGGCAGCCCTACTCTGTTTCTCAAAGGAAAAAAAAGAATGGAGTGATGATGTGTAGAGACTGTAACGTAGAAGTAGAGTGTAGTAGAAGAGTGTTTTGTAGATCCGATCCCGTATATCCTTGTTTGTCACCGCTTTTGCTTTCGGGTTGTTTTTAAAACCCGGTTCTGTAGTAACTTTTCAGTAGCAGAGGAAGTGAGAATCAATGGAAAAAAGCTCTATACTTTGTAGATTTTACTCTGTTAAAGCTATTATATAGATTGTTTTACATTAACTTCATCGGCGCCATTCAACAAGTTTTGGTTGGTTGATATATCTGGAATGTACAAACTCAGCACGTTTCCTCATTTTTTGGGACTCCAAAATTGAAAGGTACTAGATGCTAATGGACTATGGTTTAGAATGAATCGGTGACTAAGACATTGCTTATACTTTTGAAACATTATGTCTCTCAAAAAAAAAAGAAACATTATGAATTCTTGAGGTTTTGGTGTATTATAGATTTGGAATGGATTTAATGATAGATTTTGTTGAATTGAATTTGTGGGTATGACACATAATTTTGCGTTACTATCCTGATATTTTAAAAGCAATTGTTTTAAAATGGATAAAAACGAGAGTCTACCTGTCATTCAAAATCAATATGGCTTCGCAAAACCCCTCAATTGACCAAGAAATTGGCACACTTGCAGCACTTGTAAACCAAAATAAATTTACTTAACAAAAGATATGCAACACTTTCTATTTCTATCCGGCCTGGCAATTCAAAATCATACACGAATTGATGGATAAACAATACAAAGCTTTATGGCTCTTTATTATCATTGCAATGTGGTACGTAATTATGCTAGTACTACAATAATGTTCAAACGAAATGGATAGTGTAAGAGTCATGTGGGTCAGCAAAGATATACTCTTCGAAGAATTCCAAAGAAATGACCAAGTGAAACTATGAGAATGATAACAAGTATTCCACTCTAATTCCAAATATTAGGTCCAACTAACACCAAAATTTTAAAAAGTTGTACTCTCCAAACATGGACAACTTTACTAATAATGAAAATGGAGAAAATTTTGAATAGTAACGGAGAAAAACAAACCGTATACTAAAAATGTTGTGTAGGTTTGCTTGATGGTGTGGGGTAAAACAGTACCCAGAGCTTGAAATAAGAAAAAAGAGAAGAAAAGAGCCGTGGAATTGATCAATATGTTAGCTGGCTACTCTTTTACTTCCTCTGTTGATATTACAATCATACAAATATACAATGGTCCCCTCTCATTCCACATAAATGTGTTAATAATAATAATTGTCCATTTTGGAGTTGTAGCAAAAGACGAGAAAAACAGAGCAGTTTTAAGTTCCACGGAAACAGGCAGCAGCCAACACGAAACCAATTAGTTTCAACTTTCAACCAAATTAGGTGCTGTGCTTTGCCCATGGGATGCAGACTGCAGGCGCAAAACATACAATGATGTCCAAGTTCCAGAATCTTCAAACAACCGACTATTTTTATGCTCAGCATATTCGGGAAAAATATGCTAATTGGGAGCCTGTATGTACCTTTCATCGCCTGCTGCAGGCTGCACCCCCACTTTTGCCTTTGGCTTCAGCGTGAAAGTTTTGTCAATTAAGATTTAAGCACGCCCATTTTGTCATGACCTTCTAGCATTTAGCCTTTAGGCATGTCTAGCTCCAAGTCAACTTATCGATGCGTTGAAAACTCAAATCAAGATATAAAACTCGATTGTGTCAACAATACTACCTACTAGTCTACTACAACCTAGAACAACTGCACCCTATGTTGTTGAATCAGTATAGAGGCGATTCTCGATGTCGTATTTTCAATGGGTTATGTATCTATCGGTACTTCAAGGTTTTACTACTATTTAACTCATCAATTGAATGGTGGAATATGTCACTTCAACAAAAAGGAAACCAGATTACAGTTAGAAACTAACTCGATAGAGATAAGGTACTTGCAGGGATGAGTATCCCCTAGCTCTAGCTTGTAATTGAACAAATGGAACCAACATGTACTTTCATAACCTTTTTTTATGCAAGGAATCACTTAAGCTTGCACCTAGGTTATGTTCGTGTCACTTAATTAGGTGCACTTTCAATGGACTTCTTGACTAAATGATCATTTAACCAACAAATCACCTATTTCGTACTAAGCTTGGATTCCTCCAATTGGGGACAACCCAATGAAAATTGAGACATCAACTCAATGGTCATGAAATCCAAATTTCATATTACTTTATGCGGGTTCTAATCTCAACCTAAAGGATGATCATCTCACTTAGGTCAAGAGCAAAGCAATCAATCATCTTTACTAAAGCACGATGTTGATAAAATCCAAAATCAAATAATCATAGCAAGTAATTAGGTTCATACATACCAATATCATTCATACTCAATCACATATTTGACCTAGGGTTCTACTTACCCAAGTACAAAGGCAACCCATGAAAAGGTGGGAAAGAAGAAATAAAGAGAAGAAGGAAGGGATTCATCTTGGGAGGCTCTTTAATATTCAAATGCTCCTCCAAGTAGGGATGGCAATGGGTCGGGTTGGGGTGGGTTTTGTCAAACCCAAACCCATGGGTTTATGTTAAGAACAGAACAACAACAACAACAACAAGGAACAAGGTTACCGAATCTGGAGCTGAGTCGCGGACTAGGTCGCTCTCTTTAAGACGTTCGCGGCACTGCCCTCGATGCGCACGACAGACTATCAACCGGTCGTCTCCAGGATAAAACAGCTCCTCTCAATACTCGCGGTTTTGTGCGAAAACCCGAGTTCTCTGAACACTCTCTCTATTGTGTTTATGCTCGTTGTTGTATCTTTTAGGGTTAGGTAACTCATCTATTTATATTGGATGAGACCTTTAGCCTTCCCCTCTTGGTGGAGGATTTGAGAATCTTCTTAAGGAATGAAATCAAGAGTAATAACTCCTGATTATTCCTTTCTTTAATACAGACAATTAACCCAATTGATAAAAGTTTCCTTTAATACCAGAAATCAATCCGATTGATTGAAACTTTCCGTTAGTATGGGAAATTGATCTGATCATGAAAGATTCCTTCAATATGGAAAATCAATCCAATTGATTGAACTTTCCGTTAATTCGGTCAATTAATTCTGATTGAAGAAACGTTTCCTTCAATACGGAGAATTAATCCGAATTAACTTCACTTACCTTTTCCAAGGACTTTCCTTTAGTTTTTTACAAACTATTCACATTTCTCAACAATCCCCCACTTGAATAGTTTTGAAACTATCTCTGAGCACTAACAGTTCCATAAGATCAGGCATAAGCTAAGGTATCGCGAAGATTTGAACCTTAGCGTAGTGGTTACACTTCTGATTTCATAAGGGTGACTCGTAGTCTTGAACCCTACCTCAGACAGTGTAGCACACCAGATCTTTTCATTGAGTTGTCTTCTCTTCTTAGCCCGTGCGTTTATGGCCATGCACGTTATCCTGGTTTAGTGAACGCTCTAGCAACTTTGTGCCTCCAAAGTTCCATAGGGAGCGGCCCCACTCCCACATTCACATAGGTGAGTCTATCAGAAGTACCCCCAAAGTAAAGTACTCCACCCCACATAGGGTATAGATCTCATTAAGAGTTATTAACTCATCCTCCATTGCTTTGGGATTCATGCTTCACTATGCATGAACTTTTCGCATACTACTCATGACTTGTTATTACCCATTGAACCCATTTCTTGGGATCTCCAGTCTATTGGGTTGGGTTACCATCACTTGTAGTCCGTGGTTCAGTAGGCATAAGTCCCATACCCTTGGCGGTATTCTGGACTTTCTCTCTAGGTAATCCTTTCGTCAAAGGATCAACTAGATTCTGTTCGGATCTTATATGATCCACCCTCACTGCTTCTATCATTAGGAGTTCTCTTACAGTACTGTGCTTACGACGAATCTGTCGTTTCTTTCCGTTATAGAACCGGTTCTCAACTTTAGCGATAGCTGTGGTACTATCACAATGGATCAATACCGGAGGGACCGGCCTTTCCCATAGGGGAATCTCTGACAACAATCCTCTCAACCAACTTGCTTCTTCACTAGCCGTTGCTAGTGCTATCATTTCTGATTCCATAGTTGATTGAGCTAGGATTGTTTGTTTCTTTGACTTCCAAGACACAGCTCCACCAGCGATGTTAAAAACATACCTGTTGGTTGCCTTGGAGTCATCTGATAGGGTATTCCAATCCGCATCACTATACCCTTCTAGTACAGCAGGAAACCTTTGATAGTGTATACCAAGGTTTGATGTTCTCTTGAGGTATCTCATGACCCTCTCTATAGCATTCCAATGCTCTCTACTAGGACAACTGTTAAACCTGCCAAGCAATCCCACGACATATGCAATGTCTAGTCGAGTGTAATCCGCAGCATAACGAGGACTGCCAATGATGCTAGCATATTCTGATTGTCTTACACTATCTCCAGTGTTCTTAAACAGCTTTACACTGGCATCATACGGAGTACACGCAGGTTTACAGTCGAAATAGTTATATTTCTTCAAGATCCTCTCTATGTAGCTAGATTGATCTAGAGAATAACCATTTGCTGTTCTGGTTATCTGGATTCCAAGCATAAACTTTGCTTCTCCCAGATCTTTCACCTCAAAGCTCTCTTTCAACATGACTTTTGCTTCATAGACCACGTGAATATTTGTACCGAATATCAAGCAAACTGGGAGAAGCATGCTCTCTCAGTGTCTCGAGCAAACTGCTCCACGAGAAGCCTTAATTGTTTGTTTGGATCTTCCAGTGCAGTGTAGCATGGCTCTGCAGAGTGGCCCGCGAAGGTCTCCATGGCTAAATCCAACTCAGATGGCCCCTCTGGTTGTGGCAGGAACTCTTCTTGAAAAGGATGTTGTTCTTGAGGTTCCCAAGGGTTTGGTTGTTCTCCATAGTAGGGGGGTTGGTACTGAAATCCGAATCCATAGTCTTCTCCTCCTTGATTGCTCCAAGAAGTCTCGGGGTAATACCACACAGATGGTGGTTGATACCCCCAATGGTTGGAGAAGCCATGAGGATTCATGTTTCAGAGCTGCACCAACAAAAACATAACACCCAAGTGAAAAGCAAGGGTGGAAAAGAAAAGAAAAAAAAGCTAGAGTAACAAATTCTCACGTTTCCCCAATAACCTAGAGGTTCCCCGGCAACGGCGCCAAAAACTTGACACGCTAAAACACAACACCAAACTACGACCAAGTGAAATCGCAGTCCGGGAATGCAGTAACAGGCAAGTTA